CGAATTGTAGCGCAAAGTGTGCGATCATTCTCTTAGAATAGTAACGATGGTCACTGTACTCATATGCACAGATCTGCGATATACATGCTCATCGGAAACTACAGTCTTGCGTAACAAAAGCTAGTCGTGGATGAAGATCTGTGATTTATTCCGCGAAACGAGCATGGCATCTATAGCCCCAAGCATTCTTCAGGCGATTTCAGTAGCGACATAGTCTGGCAATGCTTAAATTGTTTACGACTTATTATATGCGCTTTTCAAAAGTGCGAAACGGAGTCTTTATTTATTTAGAAAGTTATAGACGCTGTACATTCGCGGAAATCGGGCGTTACATTTTAAGACTTCTGGCAAACTGGCAAATCGCATCCAATTGAAATTATGTGAAGTATGCGTGAGGCACATCGTAACCAAAGTTCATATGCGTCGAACGTGCGTGAACCGTTTCGTTTTAGCCTTTACCATGGTTGTTAGGATGATAACACCTGGCTCTCCGTAAAAATCTTAAACGCGCTATGATAACAAAGTTTTTATGTATTATTTAGTTAGTAAAACTTTATAAAAAGGTTAAGTACTACATAACTCATAAGCACCATTTAATCTTCTATTACATCCGCAATGTTCTCAACTCAAACCAGTCATCCGCGAAAAGTTTCTAAACTATAGAATAGTGGAAAATGTGCAACACGAGTTCTACAAGCAAGAGTGCCTCAGTAGTGTAGAAGTTTACACCTATGAAGAGAAAGTGACATGTCGGCGCACTTCCAATATGCGAACTCAAACTACGAGCTTCACGATAGTTGTTTTTTTTTTGCTGAATTGATGCCAATATAGTGCGAACTAGTCGATTGATCGAAAAAGCGATGATTCAAAATTAACGTCTATTTGCTGTCGCAAGCAGTTGGGGGAATGCGAGATCCCTACAGTTTAAAGCTGATCACGTTTCAAAAAGATGCATTATCGAGATTTGCAGAAAAACGCAGAAGAAGAAAGCTTGATAACTTAGTAGTTGGCTCTGCACCAAACTCGAATAATTTGATAAGAAATTTTATTCAAAGACGAAATCGACTAAAACATTTGAATAAAACATTTGCATAAAAGACCCCATTTCCAATTACAGTTTTTGAACTTTATTCGAAACCCCGTTTTTTTGATTCAATGATTTCGAACTTTATTCAAAATTGGAATGCTCCGAGCTTCGAATTTCGACTCGAATATGTTCGAAAGTTCTATTCGAATCAAGTTTTTATTTAATTCGGACCCAAGTAAAATACTCTACCATGCAAAGAACAGCAAATTTGAACTTATACAGTAGGACCTTGGAAAGCTATCAAAGCAGCAACGTCAGGCAATGAATTGTAACCAATGAAAACTCTACGGCGTTAAGAGATCACTGTCATGATTTCGTGTAGTTTGACTTCAGCACCTTGCGCTGGACCCTGTTCCATAATGTGAATCGAACATTTCAAGTTCTTCGGGAAGTCTCGTTTTGTGTGGTCCCTTGGGGATCCTTAGGGGAATCACCTAACATTTTCAAGGTCATTTATTTTCCCATAAACACGATGAAAATGCAGCAAATCTGTACCGATACTATGGCAATAATAATAATATTGCATAGCATAATACTTATACTAATAATATGGCACTGCTATGGCAACTTATAGTAGAAATTAGCGAGTTCTCAGGATATCGAAATTTTCGATTAACTGCTGTTCGCGAGCTGAGGTTCATCAAAAAATCACTAATTGCACAACCCATAAATTTTGCCAAAACCCTAGCAGTGTCATATTAGATCCTCAGTACAGCTACGACGTTTACATCCACTTCCTGGAAAGATAGACGATTTGAAAATGAGGGGCGATCCTTCGGAAATCCCTAGGGGTACACACGAAACAGTAGAAGTCTTAGCATGTATGGCAATGTTTTACCATTCATTACCCTCAAGTTCCAGGGTAGAAGGACCTTCATAACATAGACAGAAAAAGAATTATGTAGTCGCATGCATTAACATTCCTCCGGGGGGGGGGGGGGGGGGGAAATAGGGGATCGCAGCTTAGAAGAATGCTTCACATCCCGAAGCTCCAAATATCTGGATTCGAATTCACGTCGTTCACCTATCCATAGTATTCCAACTATCCTTCACTATAAACAATTGAACAGGAGCGAGAAACTGTACAAGCCGCATTTTTCAATTTGTTGTACGATCCCTGATGACCCTCTGCGGCCTACTGTCTTGTCTTCAAAGTTTTATTCCTTCGAAGTTAACGAAAACATCCAAGTTGTACTGTTGCCTAACCCAACAGTACTAAGCATGCTGCTGATGAGAACAAGTGAGTCATTGGAGTATCGAAAATTTTGATGAACTCCAACTTTGGAAGCGTGGTTCATCGCCGATCTCATGACTTCAAAACACCATTTGTTCTCGTCCAAAACATGCCTAGCACTGTTTGATTAGATAAACAGCAAAACTTTGACAAGTTTTCATTAAGTATGAAGAAAGGACAATGACTTCGAAGAAAAGACGGTAAGGAGTTGGGGATCATCAAAGAATCATACAAAAAGCTGAAAAGAGCAGCTTGTACAGCTTCTCGCTCTTGTTTAGTATGTTTATCACATAGGAAGTAGAAACACTTGCGGATGGATAGACAGCGAAAAATCTAAATGTCCAGAGCTTTAGAGTATAAAGCTTTCTCTTAACATGTTGAAGAACGATCATTTTTAGTTGTCTACCTTGTGGAACAATGCCTTCCATGAATCATTTGAAATATTTGAGTTAAAATTACGCAGATCATCATCTACGATACCTACAGTAATTCTAAGAAGAAGCCTAGAAATGTGGAAGATACTTTTAGATCCAGAGCGTAAGAGACTTTTGAAACGAATGTACAGGGTGTGCCAAAAGTATGTATACCTGTTTAATCGTTAATATCTCTCTTCTAAAAAAGTCTTCTGCCTGCTTTCAGGTACCATTTTGTAGAGCTGGCTTCAACTTAGATTTTCAGTATAGAGCGAGCCACAGATCCCTCTTCATTATTGTAGGATTACGGTAGGAACTTTCGGCTTACAGCGTCATTGTGGATTAGTCCTGTTTCAAAAAGTATTTCCAAAAATTGTGAAAAGTAGTGCATGAAAGACCTGCGTGCTGATTTCATTACTCAACGTTTTGTGAGTCTGTAAAGCTTTTTAGATGCTGTAATCACAGTTATCAAGCATTGTAAAGAGAGCTGTTGCGGTTTATCTAACATAAGTTATGAAGGAAGCAAAATGCAAAGTTCGTATTTGGTTTCAGCGACTCTAATTAGCCTAGTGAGTTCCCAGTTTATTTGGTTCGCTTTCTGTGGCGAAATAGGGCCTTTAATGGCTCAAATCCCTTCTTGAATTTCCTACCGTAATCATACAGTATTGAAGAGCAGTTGGTAATCCGCTTTATACTGTAATTCCAAGTTGAACCTTGCTCTACAAATTGGTACACCTAAAGTTTGCGAAAGGCATCAAAGCAAGAGAGTTGTTAAAGATCAAACAGATATACATTCTTTTGGGACACCCTGTATTTCAAAATTATAGTTACTTAACAAAATTTAAGCCATGACCCACCATGTGGATCACATTGCCTCACGTGGCAGTCATTGCATATCCCACCATGTGATCACATCGTCGCCAACATGTTAAGCTGCGATCCCCTTCTCGGCGGGGATGTTAATGCTTGCGGTCTATAGAATTCGAAGTAGCGAAAATGACATGTCTCCTCTCAGAGCCCCTCCCTTCCCCAGCGAGGATGTACATGCGCACGGGCCTTAAGGTGCTTCAATTCGGTGTAACAGCAGCTAGGCAGTTACAGAGACATGCCGGCCATATATCAGGCGCTCAAGCATGCTGATTGGGCAACTATTAATGTACTGCGGGCACTTACAGGGCCAGCCGTCGGTCACTCAGAGGGTCCAATATCAGTTGAGCGGGCACTTCGCGGCATGGCCGATTGTTGGTCAAGCACGCGCAAGCTTCTCGATGCAGTTGTCAGAGCGGAAGACCGAAACTATGTTACGCACACCAAACCTGTGAGGGACAATAAATTTTACGAACTTTAGTGCCAAGGTTTTACAGACAAAGAAAGTATGAAATAGAGGGTGTCCCAAAAAAATGTGAACACTGTTTGATTGTTAATAACTCTCTTGCTTTCATGTCTTTCGTCGAGCTTGAGGCAACATTCTATAGAGCGAAATTTAGCTTAGATCTAAAGTATGGAGCGAATCGCCGATCGCTTTTTGTTACTGTAGAATTACGGTAAGATCCGACAAGAATCTTAGGCCTTTGGAGGCCATATTCTGCCTCGGAACAAAACCTAACAAGCCGAATTATGTTAGAGGAAGCCGCTGAGTTCGAATATGAAAATTTCACTTTACTGTGATGCTTCTTTCCAAGGTTATCCCAACCAAACCGTAATAATGAATTTCCAGTATTTGTCAGGAATGTGACTACACCGTCAAAAAAGCTGAAAACACTCGTAAAAAGCTGTGTAATGGAATCAGCGTGCGCGAAATCCCTAGTACACGATTTTTTTTTAGATTTCTGAATAAAATTTTATCAAATGGCATATCTCACAATAGATCCACATGCTAGGAGTTCATACCGTAATCCTACAGTAACGAACAGCGACGGTGATTCGCCCCATACTACAAATCTAATAAACTCCCTTCATAGAATGGTGCCTCAAGCTCCGCGAAAGAGAAAGCAACGGAGTTATTAACGATCAAACAGTGTTCACACTTTTGGGACACCCTGTATTTTGAACTAACTACTTTATTTATTACATCAGGCAAGCGGTATTTTTGCTTCAATCTAGCGCATGTAATGGTGAGCACATTCTTTTATGTATAAACTGTGAGTATGTGAAATCAGTAAGGCGTTGTGATTTTTCGAAAAGGAAAAAGACAGCAGGGGATATAAAGAGATACCAAAAAAATGTCTACAGCTAAGTCAGTTCAAAATCTCAAATCTTTTATTGATGCTCTTTTTATTCAAGATTTGATTCAAAGTGAACAGTAAGATTTACACCAATTACTCCATATTCTTCGAGTATTCCTTTCACAATCCTCCTGGCGCCATTACTGACGACGGGATCTCCTAGCTGCACTCCTGGTCCCTGGAACATTCCTGGGCTTCAACGTGGAGTTATTTTTCCTTTTTCTGGAGGGTGTAATCTTCCTACCACCATTCCATGTAGAAGTCATTTTGGTGGAACTATTGTTTTTCAACCTATTAGCGTTCCTCAGATATCTCCTAATAGCAGGCCAGGAAGATTTTCTACCATACATCTTCATATCTTTCCCAGGAGTATTACTGGAGTTTAATCTGTAGTTATTTCTTCCTTTTCTGAAGGGTGTATTCTTCTTACGATTAATCCGCGCAAAATTTTCTCTGGTGGAACTATTCTTTCTCAATCTATCCGCTTTGTTCGGGTTCCTAGGCCAGGCGGCTTTCCTACCATACATCTTCATAGCTTTCCCAGGAGTATTACTAGAGTTTAATCTGTAGTTAGTTCTTCCTTTTCTGAAGGGTGTATTCTTCTTACGATTATTCCGCTCAAAATTTCCTCTGATGGAACTACTTTTTCTCAATCTAGCCGCTTCGTTCGGGTTCCTAGGCCAGGCGGCTTTCCTACCATACATCTTCATAGCTTTCCCAGGAGTATTACTAGAGTTTAATCTGTAGTTAGTTCTTCCTTTTCTGAAGGGTGTATTCTTCTTACGATTATTCCGCTCAAAATTTCCTCTGGTGGAACTACTTTTTCTCAATCTAGCCGCTTCGTTCGGGTTCCTAGGCCAGGCGGCTTTCCTACCATACATCTTCATAGCTTTCCCAGGAGTATTACTAGAGTTTAATCTGTAGTTAGTTCTTCCTTTTCTGAAGGGTGTATTCTTCTTACGATTATTCCGCTCAAAATTTCCTCTGGTGGAACTACTTTTTCTCAATCTAGCCGCTTCGTTCGGGTTCCTAGACCATGCGGCTTTCCTACCATACATCTCCATAGCTTTCCTAGGAGTATTACTGTATTTTATCCCATAGTTATTTTTCCATGTATTCTTCCTATTATTCTGTGCAAGATTTCCTTTAGTGGAACTATTTTTTCTCAATCTATCAGCTTTGTTCGGGTTCCTAGGCCATGCCGCTTTCCTACCATACATCTTCATAGCTTTCCCAGGACTATAATTGAAGTTCATCCTGTAGTTATTTTTCCATCTTCCGAAGGGTGCATTCTTCCTACCATTTCGTGCAAGATTTCCTCTGGTGGAACTATTTTTTCTCAATCTATCAGCACTCCCCGGATTCCTTCTGATAGCAGGCCGGGCGGCTTTCCTATTATAGATCTCCATGGTTCCAGGTAGAGTCCTAGTATTTTCGAAGGCTCCTCTGCCAACGGCATTCTTAGTATTCATGGCATTCCCACTAACGCCATTTTTCCTTAAGGCATTCCTTGTATTCTTCCTACTTTTATTATTCCAACCAAGATGCTCTTTGCTGTAATTGCTACTGGTACTCGTCCCAAAGGCATCTTTCCCTGAAGCCTTCTTTTTGTTTATTCTGGCATAATTTCCAGCGAATTCAAAGGCATTCCTCGTACTCTTTCCAAAACCATTCCACGCTGAATCTCTTCTGGTGGCAATGACATTCACCTTACTGCCATGACTGTGCCAGGCATTCCTGCCGGTTATCAAGATATCACTCTTCCTGTTGGCATTGCTCCTAGTGGGCTTCTTTTCAGTATTTTTGGCATTCCACGGGCTTCGAGTTCTTGTAATGGTGTGTTTCCTGATATCTGTCCTTCTGTTGGGTACACTCGGTGGTAATCCCCTAGGTGAAAGTTCTTTTGATAGTCTCCCTCCTGGAGCAGCTGTTGGTCTTGTCTTTCCTGACCCTTTTTCTGGTTGACTTCTTTTTGATGGCGAGCCTCTCAAAGGCATTCTTTGTGATAAAAATTCTTTTCGTTCTCTTCTTCTTAACGGAACTATTGTTGGCCTTCGTGGTCCTTTTTCTGGTGAGTTTTGCAATTTTCGCGAATTCATTTTTTGTGAGGGGAGTCCTGTTCGTAGCAGAACTGGTGATATTCGTTTCCCTTGCCTTTTTTCTGGTAAGCTCTTTGCTGTTAGCCATACTCTCGATGGCATTTTTGACAAAGGTCCTTTTTGTTTTCTCCTCCCTGCTGAAGCTGTTATTGATTTCCGTGACTTTTTTTCTAGTGGGCTTCTCGTAGTACTTCCCTGCTTTCCTTCCAGTGTTTCTTTTGAATTAAACATTGTTACTGATAAAAGTTCCTTTTGTTTTCTCCTTCCCAATGAAGCTGATGTTGATCTCTTGGTGGCACTTCCTAGCTGCTTCTCTTTCGCCGTTCCTTTCAATAACTTTTCTCGTGATGGTTCTAGTAAATGCCCCAATCTTCCTGGAGTTCGTAAAGTTGCCCTTTTCTGCGATAAATCTTTCTTTGATTGCTTTTCTTTGACGACGGTGCTAGCACTTGTCTCCCTGCCATTGTTCATAGAGAGATCCACTCTGGTGCCGTTCTCTGTAGCTCCCTTCTTGGTGGCCTCCCTTCTGGCAGTTTTGCCTTGTGGCCTCTCCCCTTTAGTTCTGCTCGCCGTTTTTAGCTGATTATCTTCTGGCGTTTCTTTCGAAAGCTTCCCTAGTGAATCGATTTTTTCAAAGGTTTTTCCATATGTTGATTGCTGCCATATGTTTATCCCCTGTTTTTCCTTTGATGGTGTCTCCCTGCTGACACTGCTATCATTCCATAGCTTTCCTAGTGAACCGATTTTTCCAAAGGGTTTTCCATATTTTGATTGCTGCCATATGTTTATCCCCTGATTTTCCTTTAATGGTTTCTCCGTGCTGACATTGCTATCATTCCATAGCTTTCCTAGTGAACCGATTTTCCCAAAGGGTTTTCCATATTTTGATTGCTGCCATACGTTCATCCCCTGTTTTTCCTTTGATGGTTTCTCCGTGCTGACATTGCTATCACTCCATAGCTTTCCTAGTGAACCGATTTTTCCAAAGGATTTTCCATATTTTGATTGCTGCCATATGTTTATCCCCTGTTTTTCCTTTGATGGTTTCTCCGTGCTGACATTGCTATCACTCCATAGCTTTCCTACTGAACCGATTTTTCCAAAGGATTTTCCATATTTTGATTGCTGCCATATGTTTATCCCCTGTTTTTCCTTTGATGGTTTCTCCGTGCTGACATTGCTATCACTCCATAGCTTTCCTACTGAACCGATTTTTCCAAAGGATTTTCCATATTTTGATTGCTGCCATATGTTTATCCCCTGTTTTTCCTTTGATGGTTTCTCCGTGCTGACATTGCTATCACTCCATAGCTTTCCTACTGAACCGATTTTTCCAAAGGATTTTCCATATTTTGATTGCTGCCATATGTTTATCCCCTGCTTTTCCTTTGATGGTTTCTCCGTGCTGACACTGCTATCATTCCATAGCTTTCCTAGTGAACCGATTTTTCCAAAGGTTTTTCCATATTTTGATTGCAGCCATAAATTTACCCCCTGTTGTTTCTTTGATGGTTTCTCCGCGCTGACATTGTTAGCGTTTGATAGCTTTCTTAAAGAAGCGATTTTTCCAAAGGGTTTTCCATATTTTGATTGCAGCCACAAATTTACCCCTTGTTGTTTCTTTGATGGTTTCTCCGTGCTGACATTGTTAGCGTTCGACAGCTTTCTTAGTGAAGCGATTTTTCCAAAGGGTTTTCCAGATTTTGATTGCAGCCATAAATTTACTCCCTGTTGTTTCTTTGATGGTTTCTCCGTGCTGACATTGTTAGCGTTTGACAGCTTTCTTAGTGAAGCGATTTTTCTAAAGGGTTTTCCATATTTTGATTGCAACCATAAATTTACCCCCTGTTGTTTCTTTGATGGTTTCTCCGTGCTGACATTGTTAGCCTTCGATAGCTTTCTTAGTGAAGCCAATTTTCCAAAGGCTTTTCCATATTTTGATTGCAGCCATAAATTTACCCCCTGTTGTTTCTTTGATGGTTTCTCCGTGTTGACATTGTTAGCGTTTGACAGCTTTCTTAGTGAAGCGATTTTTCTAAAGGGTTTTCCATATTTTGATTGCAACCATAAATTGACCCCCTGTTGTTCCTTTGACGGTTTCTCCGTGCTGACATTGTTGGCATTTGTGTCAATGGCTGAACTCGTGATAAAATTCGTTCCTTCTGCTAATTTTATTTCTTGTGATTGTCTTCCTTCTGACGGTCGTCTTCCTTGTACCCCTTCTCCTGACCCTCCTTCTCCTAACCCTCCTCCTCCTGGTGATCCTTCTCCTGGCAACCCTCCTCCCAACCCTCCTTCTTCTGACCCTCCCCTTTCTCCTGGCGACCCTATTTTTATTTCTATTTCTAGTTCTCTTCCGAATGGTCCTTCTCCTGGCGACCCTCCTCCCGACCCTCCTCCTCCTGGCGAACCTATTTCTAGTTCTCCTCCGGATGGTCCTTCTCCTGGCGACTCTCCTCCCGACCCTCCTTCTCCTGACCCCCCTCCTTCTCCTGGCGACCCTATTTCTAGTTCTCCCCTGAATGGTCCTTCTTCTGGCAACCTTCCTCCCGACCCTCCTTCTCCTGGCGATCCTATTCCTAGTTCTCCTCCGGATGGTCCTTCTCCTGGCGACCCCCCTCCCGACCCTCCTTCTTCTGACCCTCCCCTTTCTCCTGGCGACCCTATTTTTATTTCTATTTCTAGTTCTCCTCCGAATGGTCCTTCTCCTGGCGACCCTCCTCCCGACCCTCCTCCTCCTGGCGAACCTATTTCTAGTTCTCCTCCGCATGGTCCTTCTCCTGGCGACTCTCCTCCCGACCCTCCTTCTCCTGACCCCCCTCCTTCTCCTGGTGATCCTATTTCTAGTTCTCCTCCGGATGGTTTTTCTCCTGGCGACCCTCCTCCCGATCCTCCTTCTTCTGACCCTCCCCCTTCTCCCGGAGACCCTAATTTTATTTCTATTTCTAGTTCTCCTCCGAATGGTCCTTCTCCTGGCGACCCTATTCCTAGTTCTTCTCCAGATCGTCCTTCCTCTGGCGACCCTCCTCCCGACCCTCCTTCTTCTGATGCTCCTTCTCCTAACGGTCCTTCTCCTGATGCTCCTTGCAACTGTTCTTCGTTTGATGGTTTCTCCGTGCTGACACTGTTAACATTCCTTAGCTTTCTTAGTGAATCAATTTTTCCAAAGGTTCTTCCATATTTTGATTGCAGCCATAAATTTACCCCCTGTTTTTCCATCGATGGTATCTCCGTGCTGACACTGTTAACATTCCTTAGCTTTCTTAGTGAATCGATTTTTCCGAAGCTTCTTCCATATTTTGATTGCAGCCATAAATTTACCCCCTGTTTTTCCATCGATGGTTTCTCCGTGCTGACACTGTTAATATTCCTTAGCTTTCTTAGTGAATTGATTTTTCCGAAGCTTCTTCCATATTTTGATTGCAGCCATAAATTTACCCCCTGTTTTTCCATCGATGGTCTCTCCGTGCTGACACTGTTAACATTCCTTAGCTTTCTTAGTGAATCGATTTTTCCGAAGCTTCTTCCATATTTTGATTGCAGCCATAAATTTACCCCCTGTTTTTCCATCGATGGTTTCTCCGTGCTGACACTGTTAATATTCCTTAGCTTTCTTAGTGAATTGATTTTTCCGAAGCTTCTTCCATATTTTGATTGCAGCCATAAATTTACCCCCTGTTTTTCCATCGATGGTCTCTCCGTGCTGACACTGTTAATATTCCTTAGCTTTCTTAGTGAATTGATTTTTCCGAAGCTTCTTCCATATTTTGATTGCAGCCATAAATTTACCCCCTGTTTTTCCATCGATGGTTTCTCCGTGCTGACACTGTTAACATTCCTTAGCTTTCTTAGTGAATTGATTTTTCCGAAGCTTCTTCCATGTTTTGATTGCAGCCATAAATTTACCCCCTGTTTTTCCATCGATGGTATCTCCGTGCTGACACTGTTAACATTCCTTAGCTTTCTTAGTGAATCGATTTTTCCGAAGCTTCTTCCATATTTTGATTGCAGCCATAAATTTACCCCCTGTTTTTCCTTCGATGGTTTCTCCGTGCTGACACTATTATCATTCCCTAGCTTTCCTAGTGAGTTGATTTTTCCATAGATTTTTCTACGTTGTGACTGCAGCCATATATTTTGCAACTGCTTTCCCTTTGATGGTTTCTCCGTGCTGACAATGCTAGCGTTCGGTTCTCTTGATATCCTTCCTTCTTTTTTCGTCGCTGGTAGCTTTCCTTCTTCTTTCAGTTTCTCTGGTGGCTTTCCTTGTTCCTTCATTTGTCCTTGTGATTTTTCTCCTGAAGTAAATCCTTTCGTGGCGTTTCTTTTGACGGCATATTTTCCAATGTCCTTGAAATATATTAGGTAATTTCAAAATTTCGCTCGCCAGTTTTTCAAAAAATTATAACTTCCTTCCTTCTTAATTAATTTTCTCGAAATTATAATTATTCGAAAGAAAAAGCTATGCCTTGTGCAGCAGTGCTTCTGCCGTGAGTCAATATGAGAAATTTTGAGAGTCAGACAATTGAAGGCAATCACTCAAGATTGGCATTTTTCAAGCAGGGTCACGAAAAATTCTGAAACTATCTTTGTTTGCAAGAGAAATTTTTGCGCATTACAGTGGCACCTTTCCCATGGATTATTACGCGATAGTTCACGAGTTAGAAGCATTTGAAGAAAATTGCTTCAATTTTGCATTTTTTGAGCACGCTGAAAAAACCTGAAAACGCCATGACGAGATCGTAACAGTTATAGATGAGGATTTTATGACTCCTCTTTTTGGCTAAGGGGATTTTCGTGCTAATCGAGAGCAATTTTGATTTTCGTGAAAACGGATAGCAAATACCTAAAAAAACTTTACTTTTGTTAGGAACATTCGTTCAGCAAGGAGTTTGCCTAACTAGAAAAAGGAGGTCATAAAACATATGTTTTTTTGAAAAAAAATTTGAGTGGCCTTGCTCAGCAGAGCAATTTAACCCTTTCGGACCTGGTGGTGGCAATTGCCACCATCAATTCAGAGATCTACTATACTGGCGCAAGAACATCATTTCGCTACTCATTGCTCTCAAACGCTCCATATAGCCTTTGCCTTCCAAATGTAGCTTCGACCGGGTGTTCATTTGCTTCTCTGTGAATAGCATGTACATTTCTGTAAACAAGTGGATTTCAACCAATCAATAATTTGCGCCGGCTTGAGCACCGTTTCAGTATCTCGTTTATTAGCCAAAAAATATTCATAATATTATCATAATGTTTTAGTACGATGCTGAGCAAATGTAACTGTTAACTGTTTGCGGGTCCACATGTTTCGCGGGAGATTTGAAAATCCAAAATAAACGCAAAACCAAAAAATTGAAAAATCAAAAAGAAATAGTTCATAAGGTTAAGCAGACTCCAAACTCCGCTATAATGTTATTCATATGGTAATAAGTATATTTCAGGCAAATCCAGGCAGATAGCAGAGAGTTACGATTTTTTGAAGAACAATGCGAACGAACTTTTGAAATGACCTAATGAAACTCAATGCAAAGACATTTCCAAATAGGAAACTAACGCTTAGATGGGAGAATTGCTGGAGTATCCATAGGTGAAATTGATGGGAGTTGTGATTCCGTTGCGTAAACGCCATAGATTAGCAACGCAAATACGAAAACATCCATGCTGATGTTACATCGTAGGTTTGAGACTCTGAAAAGCTCAAGTTAATACCATTATTGTGACCGGTGTAATCACTTGTATCTTATATAGCAGCAAAAAAATGACAGGAAAAGTCTTTTGCAGGAATCATTGATCATGAAGTCTATAGTATAAGCGAGCTCCAGCACTTTCAAGGAAGAATTGTTGCAGATTTTGTGTTGAGATACTTTGCCATCAATCTTTCTATTTTCGTGAAGTGGTTTCGCAGAGGCACAGCTCGCGGACGAATATCTTTTCGATAACTTATGAAAAAAGATTCGAAAGAATGATCATACGGAATACCAAGATTTCTATGGCTTCTATCAGGTTGTAAAGAAAGTTCCGGGGCACTTTTGGAAATTTCATTTTCTGACGCATTTTTCTAGCGCTCGGTCGGACTTTGAAACAAAGTTGTTTTTACTTTCAGTGGAGGGAAACCTATAATTTTCAAAACCGCTTCCGATTTTCATCGATGCCAGATCATGTTTGATCTACAAATCAAAAAATGAAATCTTTCCAACCATGACAATTTCACAGTTTTTCTTTCTGCGGACACTTTTTTGTGCAGTTCAAAGAATTTCGTTCAAATCATGGGTGATCTGATTGAGGAGCCTGCTAACTTCTAACTCGCAACTGCACTCGATTTTTGCGATCTGCGCGTAGGAATTACAAGGCTGTCAAACTTGCACCTGACCGCATCCTCTTTTCGCAGCTGGCGTCGCTTCTGCGGGGACTGAATGATGGATCCAAAAGACGTGCAAGGCATTACCCCAACAATGTTCGCAGTAATCAAAGATTTGGTCCGCCCTGTGGAGAACGAGAAGACTTCAAAGCAGCTTACTCGAAAAATGGTGCATTTTTGGGAGCAGAAAATGGTCGATTCTTCAAATTTTTTGAAAAAACTGTTTTTTGCAGGTGGTCTCAAAGACTTTGGCCCGTAGTAAAGCTCGGTCATGGGAGATTATCTCCCCTGAGACCTTCATGTGAGGTTCTGTCAGTAAAATGACGACCGCCCATTTCCCCATGCTATAGGGATGCAACGTCACCTGAGAGGTGAGCCTCAGGTGAAGTTCGGCAGGGAGATGATCTCCCTGCCGGGTCATGGGAGATGATATGAGCGATGATGTCCAGAAATAGTGTGCTAAAGAGGAAACGCAAAGAAAATCTTCGTAAGTTGCTCCTGAGTAACTTACGATACACAGCAATTTGCCTAACACTGCGGACAAAATCGGCGCAAAATTGCACAACCCCGCCCGAAAAGGAGAAGATCGATAAACAGCTGATTTTGGCGAGGAAGACAGAAAAAAACAAATCCTTTTCTTTTTTATAAACTTTACTGGTTTTTTTGAAGCTGTCCAAAACGAGGACTCATTTGTTCATTTCATTGAATTCTCGTTGCAACCATTTCGTTTTGTTGCAAAATTTTCGTAACAAAATGTTTTTTGTTTTGTCTTTGCGTTTGCTAGGCGAAATCCTTGATAGCGGCCATCATCGATTGGATAGTGGCCGCTATCAAAGATTGACCGGCGATGCAGCAAAAGTTGTGTCGCTAGGCGGAGTCGAACCACGGCCGCGCGCGTGTAATTCCAGTGGCTTACCCATTTAACCAAATCGAATCAAGTAGCTGTTTTTTCGAGAACGCACTCGATTATAATGTCCAGAAAGCGATCTGCATCCAAATCAATAGCTCACCGAATGCTGGACTGAGGCGCCAAGATATCAACTCCGGTCCAGGGGAGATGCCCTGACGGTAGTTTACTACGGGCCTTTAATACAGGGTGTCCGTAAAGTATGTATACACTGTTTGAATGTTAATATCTCTTTTCCCAAGAAGTCTTTTGCTTTGCTTCAGGTACCATTTTGTAGAGCTGGCTTCAACTTAGATTTCCATTATAGAACGAATCACCCATCTCTCTTCATTACTGTAGGATTACGGTAGAAACTTGAAACATATGGTGTCAATGTGGAAAAAGCTGCCGTTTCAAAATTTTTCCAAAAAATGTGAAAACTTGTGCAATTGGGTTTCTATGGACTCTGAGTTCAATACTCAACTATTCAAAGAGTACGAAGCTTTATAAACGGTGTAATCGCACTTTTTAGGAACAATGAAAAAATGGCCGCTGCCTCTTACCTAGCATAACTCTTCAATGAAGCATCATAATAGATTGGGAACTTTACAGTTACAACCAGCAACTCTAACTAGCCTAGCGTAAAAGTTTTCAGGCTGTTTTGTTTCCTTTCTGAGGCAAAATATTGCCTTTCATGGCTCAAAACCCTCTTTGAAGTTTCCACCGTAATCCTAATGTAAAGAAGAGAGGTGGGTGATTCGCTCCATACTGTTAATCTAAGTTGAAGCCAGCTCTACAAAATGGTACTTGAAGCAAGGCAAAAGACTTCTTGGAAAAAGAGATATTAACAATCAAACAGTGTATACATACTTTAGGGACCCTCTGTAGTTCCCATAATAGCCCCAGGGACTTCTATATAACTGCAGCATCTGAGCTCTCCAGCTCTCATCAGGCCTGAGATAATCCTGCACGAATAAGCCACTTTTTGCGTTTTTTCTCTTCTGCGCATGCTGGTGGTCCGCAGTGAGTGCTGAAAAGCCAGCAAGACAAATATTAGGTCGAACTGAAAGTTCGCGCTGTTTTTCAGACCCATGCTCAAACCACTCAGAATGAAAATAGACAAACGCTGTAAGCACTATTCTAGGCAGAAGTTCTTCTTCTTTCCAACGGCTATGTCTTTGTTGTGGCTGTTTCAATGAGCACTGAGATATTCGCCAAAAACTAGAACCCATCATTTCTACCATGTCTAAATTTCACCAATTTTTAGAATTTTCATTTTGAGTTTTTGAAGGCGCTTATAACCACCTGATAGGGCAAATCTTTTGCAAATTGATGCAACTTTTTGCGTCTCTCTGGCAGGCTTTTTAGAATTAGTAAAATTTATTTTCTAAAGTGATAAAATTTTATATTATATTTAGCTCATTCCCTCGCAGAACATCAGACGCTGAACAATTTAGGTATCAATCGATGCATCTTTTCCTCCCCTTTCTGAAAGCTACCTTTTTTGCGAAACATGCTACTTTTGCAGACAAAATCGCTGTAAGTCCCAATTTTACGGGTGCGCAAGGGTGTAGTGAAAAGTCCAATCCATTTTCACGCCGTAATCGCTCACTTATTTCGTAGTACTAGATATAGTAATGATCGAGTTCCAGAGCTTCAATATTGTGGGGATTTCACAGTGTTTGGTGCAATTAAAGGCTACTGCATGACGAAGGCGCAGAAGCAGTATCAGTTAAGCGGGCGCGAACGTGGCGCGCGCGTATCCTCACCGTTGCAATTACTGCGCCTCACGCGCTCTGCAGCTAATAAAACCGCGTTCGCGCCTATTGATATTGCGCCTTCGTCATGCACCAGCCTATATGTGTCTCACAATTTTTTCAAAATTCAATGCTCTCGTGAAATAATTCAGCAAAATTCTAAAGAGGAGGCTGAAATAGTGCAAAAAATTGCATTAATTTGCAAAAGGTTTGCCCTGTCAGGTGGTTATTAGAGCCATTCAAAAACTTAAAATGAAAATTTTAAAAATTAGCGAAAGTTAGACATGGTAAATGATGTGCTCTAGTTTTCGGCGATTATCTTAGTGCTCATCGAAACTGTCACGAGGAAAACACAGCCATTGAAAAGAGAAATTCTGCATCGGATAGTGCTTACATCGTTTGTCTATCTTCATTCTAAGTGGTTTAAGCATGGGTCTGAAAAACAGCGCGAACTTTCGGTTCGATCTAATATATGTTGTAGACAAAATTGTCTTTGCGGTGGAGTTTGTAGCTCTAAAGAAGTGCAGTCGCTTGAAGTTACAGCGATTTGAAAATTTTCGCAAGTGCCCCGGAACCTTCTTTACAACCTAATGCTTGACCGCGCTATCCGACTACCTCACCATTGTCTTCTTCCCCTGCATGCATAGAGTTTGAGCATCAGGGAAGTATCACCAATTCTTCGAAAAGCTGGGAAATGCGGTTTGTAAGCTTCACACTCCTGCATATACATATGTTAGTAAGGCGATATTTATGATATTTATGAATAGGTAGGCAGCTTGAAATCAGATGTCTGCAGCTTCAGAACATGAGGCTTTCTTATAAACTGCGTCCACTCCCCGGCGGGATGCTAACGCATGCGGTCCTTAGAGTCACCTCATGCTGCTGAACGTAGAGAGAATTTTTTGGTTTCAAATCTCCTCCTAGGTTATCCAGTTATATAATACCAGTGCGTCACCTCTGCTTCGCAGAGGTTCGCACTGACTCTACTATCTATGTGCCTTACTCATTCTCGTAAAATCTTGGCACTGGAACTCACCGCGCTATGCCGACTACCACGAATAAAATGTAAACAACCACTCATTTAGAAGTTTTTTCACGTGAGATCGGTGATTTCGAGTGGATGAAACTTTTCGCAGGAAGACAAACGCAAATTTGAATAGGTTTTTGGATTTGCCATGGCTTGATAGTCGCCGTAAAGGTAATAGTAACCGTGAGCTACATCTCTGTGCGAAAATCTTCTCAAACGCTTAGCTAGAACCTTGGCAAGTTGACCATTTACACAATCAATTCATTTTGGCGCCGTTTTCGTTATGTAGTAAATTTCGACCATTTTTCTGGCTAAACTCCATCGCTTGCACATTTGCTTACCAAACTCATCCACGACTCTGCAAAAAGTGGTGATACGGACCGAATTTTGCGGTACAGAAGCCAGGTGGACCCGTTTGGCGCGCAGTTTCTGAGGGATCCACTCAACGAATCTACTCGTGCTTTTGCATGTTCGACTTTCATGAAGGTAGCATGCGCTATACAAAATTTAGGCTTAGAACGCTGGCTGGAACACGCTCCATGAATTTCCTAACACACACACACACACACACACACACACACACACACACACACACACACACACACACACACACACACACACACACACACACACACACACACACACACACACACACACACACACACACACACACACACACACACACACACACACACACACACACACACACACACACACACACACACACACACACACACACACACACACACACACACACACACACACACACACACACACACACACACACACACACACACACACACACACACACACACACACACACACACACACACACACACACACACACACACACACACACACACACACACACACACACACACACACACACACACACACACACACACACACACACACACACACACACACACACACACACACACACACACACACACACACACACACACACACACACACACACACACACACACACACACACACACACACACACACACACACACACACACACACACACACACACACACACACACACACACACACACACACACACACACACACACACACACACACACACACACACACACACACACACACACACACACACACACACACACACACACACACACACACACACACACACACACACACACACACACACACACACACACACACACACACACACACACACACACACACACACACACACACACACACACACACACACACACACACACACACACACACACACACACACACACACACACACACACACACACACACACACACACACACACACACACACACACACACACACACACACACACACACACACACACACACACACACACACACACACACACACACACACACACACACACACACACACACACACACACACACACACACACACACACACACACACACACACACACACAAGTCACGTAAACATCCTTAGCCCGTTATTATAAGTTATGATTTATTATATTCGATTGAGGAAGTATATCTAGTCGATTCGTTGACCACACGGGACATCACTGCATAGCGCGCCGCGAGGTAAAACGCTTGCCCCAGTACAAATTCGCAATAGTACAAGACGTGCTTTCGCAGCATTTCAGCCGCACCCCGCGTGGTTCGCAGCGTTTGAGCAGTCCTTACGGACGCAAATCAACAATAGCTTTCTGTTGTTTCATCTCAACTCACCTATCAGTATCGCCCCTTTCTGAATTTGGTCTGGAATAAAACATATAAGTCTGAAACAACTAACGTGAGTTGTATCTGAGTTACTAGGAGCTGTGGTCTCAAAAATAAAACGTTCTAAACCAGTAGACATTAATAGGGTATATAACAATACTCGAGGCGCTTTAAAACGTAGATTTAGAATTTAGGGTGTTCAGAGACTTTCAAAAGGTGCTTAATACATATAAGACTTCCGCGGAATTTTTGTAAGTGCGATTTGTAGGCGTCAGCTTCAATTTCGGCTCTAGCGGATACTATTGAGGGCTTACCAATGCAGTAGAAGGTTAGGATCGAGAGTTTTGCACCACCTTGTTTTGATGGATTGCGATACAGGTTGGACATCAATCATGGGATGGTATTCAATCTGTATACATGACCAGCGAAAAATACGCTTTTCTCAGCGTAGAGAATTGTCTCGAGCTGTAAAACGCGTGTCTTGTGACGATACTGAGTGCAAATCGAAAAGTTTACTCTCAAAACTTCCAGCGCTGGAAACTGTTTGAACTGATTCCTTGCCAAAAGCACTATCTATGATGTCAGTGGTGCTAGCTTCTTAAACGTATTGTTCCTCCAACATCGAGCAAATGCTAGACCCAAGGTCTTGTAACTCTACCTATGAGTTTACAACTTTAAGTTTCCAAGTAGCTTTCAGACACTTTGCGAGCTCTTCTACTAGTAAAGCTACATATTCCGACATACTCAAAAATAACAATTCACAGCTCTTCCCTACTTTCACCTTTCTTCTACAATTTCAAGACGATTTCAGCTGATGTTAAACACCGTCCACCCAGATTCTGGACTTTCATGTTTTGTGTTTCTTGGCCTTCTTAGGTCCCTGATCCCGGATGGGATCCCGGAGGGCGGGCATTACTGGAGGAGGGGGAGGGGGGGGGGACTTGGGTCCTCACGCCTCTTCGTTATTCCGAAGCGACATTTTGCGCCGCGACTTGGGTGAGTGGGGTATCATTTGATGGAGCAAAGCACGCTTTACAAGATGGGTTCGAAACACAGCGGAAACTTCGTTCCATCTGACGTTTGAATCTAAAATTTATAAAATCTCTGACACCAAAAAATCATATCTTTATTTATAAAGGCCTCAGGGATCCCCAATTTGCTCAAGCACGTACTCTTTACACAAACATTCATGCATACAGATTCTGGATTTTTCCATGGTTAGAACATGGGAAATGTAGGTCAAAAGGACAAATATGTCGCGTTTTACGGTTTTTTTTCTGCGAAAAATTTTATTTTCTCGAAAACCAAACTTTGTAGAAAGCTAAAATTTCATGTTATGCCGGTTTCTATTTATTAGGCCTTTGATGTCCTTTGAAATTTAACCACACTTAACGAAAATCAAACCTGGTCCGAGTATTTGGGCTCCCTTTAAACTTGATTCGGTCTATCAGGTGGTTCCCCATTTACTTTTTCTCGTTCTCAACCTGCCGTAATATTGTATGATATTAGGTCGTAACATAAGTCTTGAGACACTCTCACTTCCTACGTGATAAGTCATACAGTTCACATTTTCAGAGAGGTCCAGGACACCATTCGATAGAGCAAAGCAATCTACAAGACGGTTTGCGAAAGTTCGCACCAGATTCGACCCACTGTAAGTTTGCGTCCAAAATCTGAGTCGTACTGAAGGCTCAAAAAATCGAGAAAAATCCATAATTTATTCGAAGAAATCCTGCGAATCTCCAACTTGCCTATAAAAATTGCACACTACATCAGACACTCACATATATGTTCCCGGATTTTTTCCTCATTTAAAAGTCGAAAAAACGAAAATTTTTATTAATGCATAGAAAAACGAAGCTATCCCGTTTTTATTCATGCAATTGTATAGGCCTTTAGGAGTATGTATAACCGTAAATTTTCAGCTTTCTACAAGCCCTAGTTTTCGAGAAATATCGTGTTTAGCATGGAACACTCGAGTGAGGAGAGCCAAATTCGGTAATTTAAAAATAGAGCCTGTGGAAAACTGAAAATCTACCTGTGGAAAACTGAAAATACTCATAAGGGCTTGTAGCACACAATTACATGAGTGAAAACACCATAGCTTCGTTTTTGTATAAACAAGAAAATTTCCGTTTTCTCCATTTCTAAATGAAAAAAGTCTAAACGGTACATATGAGTGTCTGATGTAATGTGCAATTTTTGTGAGCAAGTTGGAGATTCTAGGATTTTTTCGAACCAAGATATGAACTTCCCCCAATTTTTTGAGCCTTCAGTACGACTCAGATTTTAGATGCGAACTTACGGTGGGTCGAAGCTGGTGTGAACTTTTGCATACCGTATTGTAGAGCTTGCTTTGCTCTCTCGAATTTTGTCCTGTACTCCTATTGAAAATGTGAACCGTATGATTTATCGCCGTAAGAAGTGAGAGTGTCTCAAGACTTATGTTACAACCTAATAGAGCACGATGCTAAATCAATTTCCGGACAACCTAATATTCTAGTTCTAGTAGTGCGGTGGTGCTAAATACTTATAGGTTTGCTCCTTTTTGAGAAGTCTATCTTTTAGCGTAAGCAAAAGCTTCTTATCTCGAATTCCCAGTTATTATTTTAATTATTTTACCCGATTCGGGAAAGTGCACTCTGCTTCGTATCATTGAAAATCTTATCTTGCAATTTATCAGCCAGTATCGTGCTCTCTTTTTTTCTGAAAAAGCGTTTTGAACATAGCAGTAGTGTACAGTCACAGCTGAGGTATCAAACAATGCAGTTTTCAACTATTCCTCATAATCATCTTTCCCCTTCCGACACATGCAAAATTCGCAAACAAAATAGGAAATTCAACGAGTACCGTTGTACCTCAAGTTCCACAAACTTCATATCTCAAAGCTACAATCGCTCATTCAATGATTCGCAACGTAAGTGATGGAATGTTGGGTTTAACCTTGATATTCTAACAAGGGAAGGATACTTGATCGCAGTGACGATTTGTAAGCGGTGTATACCGCGTATAGCGTCCCAGACGGTGATCTCTGAACCGCATTCCATATCTGCTATGGCTCTTTTTGGTTAAGTTACAAAGGACTTATGGTGCAGTGGAGAGCATACCTTCGATAGTCTAGAGCCAGGGAGTCAAAAGTGAAGGTTGTTCAAACATATGACCTCATAAAAAATGAAGGTTGTTCAAAGAAGATCAGAGAAGGTAAAATGACGTAAAGCAGGTATAAAAAGCAAAGGGAACTGCTAAAAACCGGATAAAAACGCTGCAATGAGATTACCCCCGCATTGACGTTTCCGTTTCCTGGGACGTGGTCTGGATTGTTGCGCTTATTGTTCTGAGCAACAATCCCCCAAGCTGGAAAAATCGCGGCGAAAGCACTGAAACAGAACAAATTAAAGAAAAACGCAATTTTTACGATTTTTTGCAAAAAATTTTACCATAATCGAAGAGATAAGAGCTGGGTGGTTGTCTACGTTATGAACAGAAGCGAGGTCTATAGAATCCACGAAAAAACCGCGTGAAAAGTGGTAAACTAGGAGAAAAAAAGGAGATTTTCGAAAACACGGGTTTTGCCATCTCGACCAAATCAAAAAATATGGTTTTGGGATGTCAGCGTGGAAATAGAGATCAAGAGCTTTAAAATGATATATAGCTTGCTAGAATTGAGTTCGAAACAACAAAGAAAAGGGTACCAGAGCCAAATGCCTCGCGACCCGCGTTTGGGGTAGCGAGGTAGCGCGCAGCGCGCGAAGACGCAGACGAGCAGCGGAGACAGACCAGAGCCGACGGGGCATTTGGCTCTGGTCGTAGATCTTCGCGGGATCTCAATGAAACCCTGTAACAATATACATCATTCTGATCGTCATGACAAGACGAGGAGAACCGACGTCCCAAGCTTTGAAAATCATTCATTAACGAGATAAGGGCGTTTTCGTGCGCGACCCTCTGCGCAAGATTTAAGCGCAGTTTCTCGTTTTTATTTAACTCCAACAGTTTTTCCAAACTTCTGAAACTCAATTCCGGTCAAATAAGAAATTAGTTGAGAAATATTGTCTTGAAGTGCGGCGAAAATTTTACAAAAACCTTCTTTTTATAAAAAAAAAAGGCTACGAAAACGCAACTCGGTCTCGCTGAAATATCCTAAAAATTATATATATATATATAATATTATAAAATATATAAGATATATTCAATATCCTAAAATGCACTACTAAATCGGAGAAGGCGGTCGCCCACCACCATCGGTGCGATAGCGGTAGAGCCACGGCCTCTGAAGACGAGGATTGTTCGAAAAGTAAGGCCGCTCTACTAATAAAGCTTCGCCGAAACCTCGTGCTGGCACAATTAACAAATAGAACTACATCATTGTAATGCCGAGGTTCAAAGAAAAGAGGACATTCAAGCTATCCTAAAAATATTATTCTCTAAATCTGCTTCATTAACATTCGTTCCGATATAGTCAGGATAATAACTTCCGGGACAAAGCCTCGGATGACTTCTATTTTTTTCCAGGTGAAGGTTGCGTCCCCTCATAGCTCTCAAAGTGAAGGTTACGAGAGTACGTGGCTCTATGTATCGAGGGCGTGGTGGAGAGTGTTTTGGTCTGCGGAGCTGGAGTGGATTTAATTCCTCTATATGCCACCCGTTTTGCATTTTTGTAAAATTTAGCAGGCAGGTTGCAAAATCTGTCGACATCAAAAAAGTTGATTTTCACAATATGAAGCAATATATTTACAGTCATTAGCAGTGAACCACCGTCTAACCTAACACACTTGTTTTGAGCCTTTTTCATTAAATGCTCTACTCATTTTTAAATTGAAAAATTCCTAATTCGTGCTTAACATAAAGAGGAGCAGCTTACCTGTCAAAAATGGCGTCTTTAATGAAATGAATGAATGAATGAATTCAATGAATGAATTTAATGAAAAAGGCTTAAAAAGAGTGTCTTTAGGTTAGACGGTGGTTCAGTGTCAATAAATGTAAATATTAGGTCGTCCCAAAAGTAATTTCGCTTTTTTGCACAAGCGTCACAGTCCACAGAACAAAGGTTTACAGGAGCTCTTCAAAGCATTCGATGCAGTTTTCCATGCTCTTCCAAATGGTCATCTCTATTTAGCAGTTGAAACAATGAGCTATCAGAAAATCGCGATAAACTGCGACCCATGCTTTTCACCAAGGTCAGGTTTAGCTATTTTTCTGAATTCTAGTACTCATTCCCCGAAGAAGTCAAAGCAACCTGTCGACAGAGCAAACAAAGTAGGATGCAAAACATTATTTGCTCGTTCCATAACTTTCTTTGAAAATTTTTTGAAAATTATTTTTTCGATGCTATCGAATTCCATATTTGGTCAACTTTAACCTCATAGAACAACAGCCGGCAAGCGGGTGTCATTCGACGCAGCACTTTCTCCTTTTTCAGAGACATGTTTTTATCGTCCCTAATTCGAGAAGTATTGGAAAATAAAAACGACAAAATTCATGTTTTCAAGGAACCCCAGGCCGTACCCGACAAATCAAAAATTAGATATTTCGAAACTCGAAACGCTCATTTGTTTCCCAAAATTACTGCTGAGTCCTTATCCACTTTCAAAGGATCAAAAAACGAGAATTTAGTGGAGTTGACGAGTGTGCGTCTGGTATGGGACTCCTAAATTTCTATGGTGTTGTTCAAAATTCTGTCAAAAAAAATTATGGAGAGCCCTGGAAAGGAGATCGAAACTGTTTTGTATAATACTTTCTTTGCTCTATCAGCAGGCTACTTGGACTTCTTCGAAGGGTCAGTACAAGAATTTAGAAAAATAGTGGAACTTGACCTTGGTGAAAAGCATGGGTCGCAGTTTATCGCAATTTTCTGATAACTCATTGTTTCAACTGCTAAATAAAGATAACCTTTTGAAAGAGGCATGAAAAACTGCATCGAATCTTATCAAGAACCTCTCTAACCCTTTGTTCTGCGGACTGTGGCGCCTGTTCAAAAAAGCGAAAATACTTTTGGGACGACCTAATATATTGCTTCATATTGTGAAAATCAACTTTTTTTGATGTCGATAGATTTTGCAACTTGCCTGCTAAAACTTACAAAAAGGCAAAACGGGTGATTTCCCATGGATATCGAACCCAAGACGTCCAGCTCCGCAGTCTAAGCCACTATCTGCACCAAAAATTTTTTATAACTCCTCCAGAATGACGTCGTAGCAGATATGGAATGCGGTTCAGAGATCACCGCCTGGGGTCGATATACGCGGTATACGCCCCTTACCCAATCGTCCCTGCGATCAAGTATTCTTCCCTTATAAGGACTGCATTTTTTGGTGCGGTCGTGTGCAACGCTATATTATCAGAACTCAAGAGTCTTTAGGTTGAAGAAAATCGAAGAAAAGTTGAGGAAAAACAGGGAAGTGCATTGATTTGAAATCATCTGGAATAAATGAACTATTAGGTAGTAACATTGGCCTTGTTACACTTCAAGTTTTTA